TGCTGGTAAGTCAAGTACAATTCACAGCGACTCTATGAACAAAAGATCGGAGCCCTGCCCTAGCCTGTGCCATCCTCATTATTTCTTACATATTTGAGCCCACTGATGCAGTCACTAAGTCAATCCATCTCATTGAGGGTCTTCCTCTTTTTTGTTAACCCTCAACTTTCAAAGCATGATGTCTTTCTCTAAAAAATACCCTCTCCTAACAACATGCCAAAAGTAGAGATACAAAGTTTTACCATCCTTGCCTCCAAGGGACAATGAGGTTGTACTTTCTTCAAGATCTGTTAGTTCTCTTGGCAGTCCAAGAGATATTGTGCACTATTTTTCAACACCACAACTCAAAGACACAACTCAATTAATTGTCATCCTTATTCATTGTCCAGCTCTTAGATGCACAGCAGGTAACTGGAAAAACTATGGCTTGAATAATATGTACCTTAGTCTTTAAACTGGTATCGTATCATTACTCTTCAGGACTTTGCAGATGTCCCAAACAGCAGACTTTCCCAATACTGTCTGTCTTCAGATCTCCTAACTGGTGGACCAAGGGTATTGATTATGCATCCAAGATGAAATCATTGAAAATTTAATCATTTCTCCATCCATCATGACATCGTCTACTGGCCCAGTGGTGAGGATTTTTTTTTTCTTCATGTTGAGAAACAATCCATATTGATGGCTGCAGTCATTGATCCTCTGCAGCAAGTGCTCAAGTTCTCCTTGCTCTCAGGAAGCAAGGTTGCGTTATCTGCATAACACAGGTTGTTAATGAGTCTTCTGCCAATCCTGTTGCCACATTCTTCTTCATCTAGTCCAGCCTCTCAAATAATTTGCTCAGGATATAGCCCTGACACACACCTTTTCTAATTTTAAAGCATGCAGTGTTCTCTTGCTCTGTTCAGAAAATGCTTCTTGATCTATGTAAAGGTTTCATATAAGCAAAATTAATTGTTTAGGAATTTCCATTCTTCTTAATGTTAACCTTAGTTTCTTATGAGTCACACAGTCAAGTACCTGACATAGTCAATAAAACACAAATAGATATTCTTCTGGTATTGTCTCCTTTTAGCCAAGATCCATCTGACATCAGCAACCATATCACTGATGCCACAGCCTCTTCTAAATCCAGATTGAACTTCTGACAGTTCTCTGTCAATGTACTGTTCTAGGCATTTCTGAATGATCTTCAGCCATATTTTGTCTGCATGTGATATTAATGACATTGTTTTACAATCTCCATATTCTGTTAGACCACCTTTCTGAGAAATAAAAACAAATATGGATCTCTTTCAGTCAGTTGGCCAGGTAGTTGTCTTCCAAATCTCCTGGCTGAGAATGGTGAGCATGTCCAGAGCCGTATGTATTAGTTGGAGCATGTCAATTTGAATCCTGTGGATTACTGGAGACATATTTTTAGCATTGCCTTCAATGTATCCTGAACTATTTCCCTCAGCACCATAGGCTCTTTAGCAAATACTACTTCTTGAATTTTTTTTATTGTCAATCAGTATTGTTTTATATAGTGACTTTGTATATTCCTTCCATTTTTTTTTTATGCTTCTTGGCGCATTTAAGATTTTTCCCATAGCAGTATTGCAACTAGAAGCTTGAATTTTTCAGTTCTTTCAACTTGAGAAATGCTGTGTTACTTACACCTTTTTTAGCTGTGGTAGCATAGGCCATAAGGTGGTACACTGCTAACTCCTATGTAATCAAAAAAGCATGTTAAAATGGCTACTTCTGAAATTATGCACCAACCACTAAAGCAGGTAATAACTGAGACTATCTACCAACTTCTAGAATCTAAAATTTATTGAATATACAACCAAGGGGCATGAATAATTGATAAATGTAAAGGAAAGCTGGAAACAAGAAGGATTAGTGGATAGAAATTATGGCTTTGGTGAAAGAAATGAGGCTGGAGGTCACATAACAGAATTATGTACAAGGATTCACTCACTGCAAATACCTTTAAAAAAACATTCAGTAACTATACACATGGACTTCACTTGATAAAATCAAATTGACTGCATGTGTGGAAAGAGACAGTAGAAAAGCTGAATGTGGAACAGACCATCAATTGTTTTTTTCCAAGTTCAAGCTGAAACTAATGATAATTTAAATAAGTCCATAAGCTTTAAAATGTGACCCTGAGTTTCTCTCACCAGAATTTAGAACCATCTCAAGAATAGCTTTGATGCACAGAACACTAACAACTTAAAAGCAGATGAGCTGTGGTATAACACTAAGTATATTATACGTGAGCAAAGGAGAAGGTCATTTTAAAAAAAGAAAGACCAAAATAAATCCCCAGAGAGAAACTTGCTCTAGACCAAAAAGAACCTAAAGCAAAAAGAGGAAATTAATAAATAAGAGAGCTGAATAGATGTGAAAGGGTAGCTCAAGACAACAAAGTATTGCATAATGAAATAAGCAAAAGACCTAGAATTAGAAAACCAAAAAAGACGCACAGGCACAGTGATTTCTCAAGCTGAAAGAAATAAACTATTCAATGATGCAGAAAGTATTAAAAGAAGATGGGGCGGGAAGAAGATACAAGAAATGTAGAGTCACTGTACAAAAATGAATTGGTGGACAGAACCATTTCAGAAAGTAGCATCTGATCAAAAAGTAATGGTGGTGAAGAAAGATATCCATGGTGCACTTAAAGACATTGGCCAAAACTAAAGCCCTAGGATTTGTCAGAATATCAGTTGAGGTATTTTAGCAAACAGATGTAGCCCTGGCCATGCAAACTCATCTACGACAAGAAAATTGGAAGAGCTATGTGGCCAAATGACTGGGAAAGATCCCTATTTGAGCGTATTACAGGGAAAAGTGATTCATGAAAATATGGAAATTATTATTATAATCACATGCATATAAGCCTTAAGATCATTCAAAAATTGCTGGAGTAGCATAACAACAGGGAACTGTCAGAAAGTCAAGATGGACTAAGAAGAGATGGTGGAATGAGGACTATTACTGATGATGTCAATTGGCAGAAAACAGAAAGAAGTCTACTTGTGTTGTATTGACTATGCAAAGGCATTGGAAGAATGGGAATCCCAGAATATTTAATTATATACAAATGGATCTCACACATAGACCCAGAAGCAGTCATTCAAACAGAATAATACTACATGGTTTAAAATCAGAAAAGGTGTATACCAAGGTTGTTATCTTTTCATCACACCTATTCAACTTGTATGCTAAACAAAAAAATCCAAGAAGTTGGACTATATGAAAAAGAACATGGCAACAGGATTCGATCAAGACTAATGACCTGGATTATGCAGTTGACACAACCCTGCTTACAGAATGAAGACTTGAAGCACTTACTGAAGAAGAGCAAAGATTATAGCCTTCAATATGGATTACAACTCAACATTAAAAAAAAAAATATTCCCACCACTGAAGCAGAAAACTATGATGTTGTCAAACCTCCCTGGAAGCAGTAATCAAGGATTTCAACATATTTAAATGGACAAATTGTCAAGAACTTCTTTAAAGATCTAAAGAACAAGTATGTCAGTTTACTAACTAAGGTGTAGCTGACCCAAGCCATGGTATTTCCAACTGCTCATTTTGCATGTGAAAATGGGACAATAAATAAGGAAGATCAATAAATAAATTCTGTCTTTGAGTTGTGCTGGCAAAGTGTATTGACTATATCATGCACTGATAAAGAACAGGTGTGTCTTGGAAGAAGTGCAGCCAGAGTCCTTAGGAGAACTCCATCTTTCATTCTATGGGCACGTTACCAAGAGGGGTCAAGTGCAACAATGAATGAATGGAAATCCAAAATCTCTGTGAATTTTCATTAAAATTAATAATAATAATAAATGATATAGATAAAGATATAGATATATAAAAGGTAGAGGGTGAGTGAAAAAAAAGCCCCTCAGTGAGCTGTCTTAACACAGTGACTAGTGACTGCACAATGGGCGTAAACACAGCAAGAGATTGTGAAAATGGCAAAGGACCCAGCAAAATTTTGACCTATTGTAGATAGGGTTGCTATGTTGTTGTTGTCACTTTTTTTTTTTACTCTTTTTTTTACTTTTTTTTATTTTATTATTTTGTATGTGTGTGTGCGCTGTCAAATCAGATCTGACTGGTATAGGAGGAGATTGCCCCTCCTTCTCCAGCAGAGCATCACGTGGATTCGAACTGCACACCTCTGGGATTGCAGTACAGCTTCTTGCCACTAGGCCACCAGAGCTCACCTTGTTGTCGTCACTTTTAAGTGCCCTTGAGTTGAGTACAACTCATAGCAAAGCTATGAACAGACCTGAACCCTGTCCTAGTCTATGCTATCCTCACAATCTCTGACACACTTAAAATTAATACTGCAGTCAATCCATCTGGTTGAGGCTCTTCCTCACTCTCACATTCCTCTACCTTTCCGAACAAGATGTCCTTCTCCAAAGAACAGCCTCTCCTAACTGCATGCCCAAAGTATGTGAGACGTAACTAAAACGATTAGACAGTTTCATATAGAGGTGAGACACTCTAATCATGCTCAGAAAGGTACTGTTCAAAGGCATTTTTAGAGATCTTGGGATAATGAGTAACTAGTTCTATTAACGTTAAAGCCAGGAGATACACTCAGCAGCAGTCCAGTCGGAACCTACTCATAGCTGTCCCTGTTGAGCTTCACAGACTGTAGAGTGCACAGGAGGAGGCTGGGGATCTATTTCCCACGTAGCCGCGGTTGGATTCGAAACTTCGGAAAGGCAAAGATTCTAGCTGTCTTGCTCGACTGTGTTGTCCCAGAACATAAAAGTCAGGAGATCAGTAATTGACAAGACTAAAATAGAGATCTTGGGTCCTTCTGCAATGCCGCAGCGAATCACTTACCCCAAGGCCAACTTCCCACGGCTTCTCACATTGTGCATCCATAGTGTACCTGCAACACCAATGCAAGCCGTAAACTCAGAAGCCCATCTCAACTCCCCTCCTCCGCTTCTAAACCACGAAGAAATCCTTACCTAACTGCCCCAGTACTGCAGCCGCCATCTTGACACCTCGCTCTACGGAAGCCTTCGAGTTCACACACGCCGCCAACACAAGACGCATGCGCGATACTCTTGCGCGTCTTTGAAAGTGACACTGGCGGTATTGTCATGGCAACCGTGAACGCGCGGGAGCCTAATAATTAAGCCAGACACGCTTAGAAATGAATGATTGTAAGAGACAGAAACTAGTTAGTTCCTGGAAAGTCACAGTCACTCAGAAAAATCAAGAAGCCTCTTGGTCTAGGTATATATAGGTTTCACATTAAGTGTTCTGGGATTCCTATTCTTCTCAATGTTACCCATAATTTGTTCTCATCCACACTGTCAAATGCCGTTCTATAGTCAATAAAAGGGTCCTCTGGTGGCCTAATGGCGAGAGGTTGCGCTTCAATCCCAAAGGCACCAGTTCGAATCCACCAGCTGTTCTGCGGGAGAAGGATTGGCAATTTCCTCCTGTGCGATTAACTGCTCTGAAAACCCGCTGTTGGGTCAGCTACGAGTTGGTTCAGACTCTACGGTACACAACAACAGTCTATAAAACACAAATAGACATTCCTCTGGTATTCCTTACTTTCAGTCAGGATCCATATGGCATCAGCAATGATACCCCTGGTGCTACAGCCTCTTCTAAATTATGCTTGAACTTCTGGCAGTCCCCTATCTATGAATTGTTCCAGCAGTCTGAATGATCTTCAGCAGTATTTTGCTTGCGTGTAGTATTAATTATATCATTCAATAGTTTCCACGTTCAGTTGGATCACATTTCTTGGGAATGGGAACAAGAAAGATATTTGCAATGCAAAATCATTAACAAAACAAAATTTGATAATTCTATTTCCAGCCTTATTTCTGTCAGCAAGTCTGTGTACTTACTGACTGCTATCGCTTCTTCATTGTTTCCAATTTTTGCATTCCTGTCAACCAATTATCATTACTACATTGTATATTTCGTCAAGTTCCAATGGCAAAATTTGGCCAAAATCAACCATTTCCTCCTCTATGGCTTTAGTTGTTGGTGTATATATTTGAATAACAATCATATTAACAGGTCTTCCTTGTATTCATATGTTAACATTCTATCATTCACAATAATAATAAAGAATAAGTAGTTAAAACATCCATGTTTATCGCAGCTTTGTTCACAATAGCAAGGAGCTGGAAACAACCTAAGAGCCCATCAACAAATGAATGGATAGAGAAGTTGTGGTATATTCACACAATGGAATACTACACTGCATCGAAAAATAAGGAACTCATGCAATATTATTCAAAATGGGTGACCCTGGAGGACATTACGCTGAGTGAAATATATTGGTTACAAACAGACAAATACTGCATAGTGCCACTGTTGTAAAACAGGACTGACATTGCGGTTGCGGGGGAGACTAAGAAAGATGGGATAAATAATGTATACTACATTGAAACAGATGAGGGAGAAAATTGTTTAAAAGGGATATGTGATTAGGCATTATTGTCATGACAGGAGTCCAGAACAATGGCTGCATAGTGGCATGGACCTGAGGGGAGTGTTTGTATAACAATGGGGGAACTTTTCTTTTACTTTTCAAAGAAAAGAGTGTACTGGGGGGAAGGGTGGGCAGGGGGGGGGAAGTGCAACAATGAATGAATGGAAATCCAAAGTCTCTGTAAATTTTCATTAAAATTAATAAAAAAGGAAAAAAGATGAGCTGATAGTGGTTAAAAAAAAAAACCAAAACAAAAAAAACCACAGGGAGCACTGGTGGCCAAGTGGCAAGAAACTGCACTGTAATCCCGAAAGCATGTGGTAGTTTCCAATCCACTAGCTGCTCTGCTGGAGAAGGATAGGCAAGCTCCTCCAGTGCGATTAACTGCCTCTGAAAACGCAACGGAGGGTCAGCTACGGGTCGGTTCCGACTCGACAGTACACAACAACAACAACAGTTAAAACACAAACTATCATGTCCTTATCCTTATTCATCTCTAGGTTGGCAGTCAATAAATTGTTGTTGTTGTTGTTGTTGTTGTTGTTGTTGTTACGAACCACAAATTGGAACTGACTCAAAGTTAATCCTCCAAGGTTTTCAGAGGCAGACAATAGCATATAAAACGATTGCCAATTTTTCTCTCTTGAAGCAGTGGGTAGATACGAATCCCCTGACTTCGTCATCATCACTACAAGGTCTTTGACTCTAGCAAGTCAATTCTGGTTTATTATGATGCCATGTGTTCCATCCATAGGGAACTCTGTCAGCCTACTGGCAAGAAGCTGCATTGCAATCCCAAAGGCACTCTATTCCAATCCCACCAGCTGCTCCGAGGGATTAGCAATCTCCCTTTTGTGTGATTAACTGCTTCTGAAAACCCACCAGAGGTGCAGCTATGGATCGGTTTTGACTCGACGGTACACTACAACAACAACAACATGTGTTTCCATAGACACAAAATTGTGCTTCACAGGGTTTTCAGTGGGTGATCCTTTAAATGAGAGACCTTTCTTCCAAGGCTCTTCTCTAAAGACTCTAAACTTCAATTTTTCAGTTAACAGCCGGGAGTGTTAAGCATTTGCACCACCTGGGGACTGCTAGCAAAATGCCCTGGTATATCTAGACCCTTAATTATGTGGTTTTTGCTGGAGAGAATGATAATGCCTAACCTCAAGGCTGGGCTCGGGTCCAGGATACCTGAAGGGTTACGTAGCAAAGTAAACGCTGCCCCGCCCATCTCAGCCTGGAAGCCTCGGCAGCAGAGCACTCAGTGCGGATTGGGCCTCGGCGCGCTCCGTAGCATCAGACCCGAGGAGGTGGGGCGCCAAGCCGGCCCTGCCCCCTTCCTGCTTGGCGTGGGGCCGTAGGCGACCTCTTTTCCTCGGTGCTTCTCTGGCCTGAGGGACGCAGTCATGGGGCAGGAACCTCGGACTCTGCCGCCTTCCCCCAACTGGTACTGCACTCGGTGCAGCGACGCCGTGCCCGGGGGCCTTTTCGGCTTCGCGGCGCGCACCTCTGTCTTCCTAGTCCGCGTGGGCCCGAGGGCGGGCGTGAGCTCCGGAGCGCCTCCGTTTCGAGGTAACTCCCGCCTCGGGGCGCAGACTTTCCCCCCGTTCCCATTGTGTTCCCTGTATTCGCTGAGTGGGAATCTTTGGCTACCTCTTTTCCTAAGGTTTGGGCACCTCGAGGCCAGCCAGGGGCGTGGTTTGCCCACGGTGGTTCATGTGAGTCGGAGCAGGAGCTGCACCACGCTGTCTCCCTGCGATCCCGCCGCTGGGCGCTCGCACGTGGCGCTCTCGGTGCCAGAAACTTAGCACTTGCCAGGGCCTGGGTGGTGATAGCGCCCACGCCCCCGTCATCGTTCGCTGGACCCCTAGAAGCGTTCCTGGCCAAGTGGATTGCCTAAGATGCAGGCCCCAAGAAAGATGCTGATGAGAGTATGGGATCCTTGTTTCTGTAATAGGTTGAGCCCAATGCGTCCAGGCTTCAAACGAAATCTTGAACCCCTCTTCAGCCTGTGAGTATGAACACTTTATAGTTGAGTCTGAGGCTCGGAGAGAGAAAATGGTTTGTCTGGAGTCACATGGCAAAATCAGTACTAAATCTTGAGGTTTCTGATTGTAAGTCTAGGGTTCCTTCCTTCTTTGCTATTCCTACAAATTAAGGAACTCCAGAACATCTGCTCATTCATGAGCCAACAACAACAGTATGATTCTGCCAGGAATCTTGGGCAGCACTTTTCGTTAACCTAGAGTCTCATTTTGCTTGAAGTTATAGGAGAGTTGGTGGGACATACCGAGAAGGTCTCTGGCTTCACATTTTCTCATCACGCTGGTCAGTACAACCTCTGTGCTACCAGCTCCGATGATGGCACCGTGAAAATCTGGGATTCTGAGACGAGAACAGTGCTGACGGAACATACACTCCACCAGGTGCTATGATTTAGTCGTTTTTCAGACCATTTGTAATATGTGTATTTAAGTTTCTTTTGTTTCATGCCTGGTTTTGCTAGTTTGTTTGTAAAAGGCGGCATCTTTAATAATTGTGTCTATTACAAAGTTACAGGTTCCATAACAGTTAACAGAAAAGGTTAAGAGTTTGAATCTGCCAGCTCTTAGAAGAAAAGACAGGGCAGTATGTTCTCATAAAGATCTCCACTTAGAAAACCTGTGTGGTTGATTGTCCTAGCCTGTTAACATAGAGTCACCATGAGTGACCACTCTACAAGCACCTAACAACATCAATGTGGAGTAAGGTCCTCTTTGTAACTTTTTTTCAACACTTTTTGAAAGCTGAATTTAAGTGAAAGGTTGGCACACTTATCCTTCCACCCATTTTTCCAAATAACTTCATTGGAATTCAACTATACCCTTTTTAAACACTATTTTCTTTCGTTGGATGCTACAACAGTAAACATAGATAAAATAGAGATAGTATGGTCCACAGAACCTAAAATATTATTTAATCATTTACCTCCTACTAATAAAAATTTTGAGTGAGTACTACTGGGTTCTAACCAGATGATTACTTAACATGAATTTTAAGCAAACAAGAAAATACAAGACTTTCTTATTTTGGAACTTTACATGTGAACTAAGAAAGTAATTCCTTCATTTAAAACATGATACCTCTAGTCAACCTACATTTTTCTGTCATATAGCTGTTAGAAAGGCTGCCTGTATAAGTAATACAAGTATTTGTTAAGTACTTATAATGTGCCAGTATGATAACAAGTTAAAGCAAAACATTAGCATTGACAAATGAAAAACCAAAACTTTTTTTTTTTTAATTTTTTACAGCATACAATTACAGCATTGCATTGGTCTCCTCTGGTAAAGGACTTAATAGTATCTGGGGATGAAAAAGGAGTCATTTTCTGTTACTGGCTTAATAGAAATGACAGCCAGTACCTCTTTGTAGAACCCAGGACAATTTTCTGTCTTACTTGTTCACCTCATCATGAAGATTTAGTAGCCATTGGGTAAGTACTGGAACATCTTAATTACAGATTTATAGTTTGTATTTGCTTTATGTTCTCTCTTCATTTGAGGAGATGATTTAGCTGCTACCTCCAACCTGTTGGCATTTCTTACTCTGACCTCCAGGTCCCTGTTTCGTTTCTTTGGTTTCCATGATTCTATACTATGCTTATTCTTCATACCTTATCCTCTTCTTGCTCCTGCACACAGGAACTGTCTTGTTGACCTCCTTCCTTTCTTTGCCCTTGGATATAACAGTTACTCCTTGAGTGTCAGGTAACTCAGATCTGTTTCTCTGATTCTGAGCTATCCCTTTGGCTCAGGGAGGTGGTTATATCTTTATCCCCATTAATCACCCACTTTGTTTCTGTAAGCTGCATGAATGGGCATCCCCTCTCCTTCACTGTTCCATGTACTCCCAAAGATCTCTGTTCACTCCACTTTGAATAATTGATATGAACAATTACATTTAGCCTGTTGAAAGAAAGTTTGAACTGAGTTTTTAAAACTGGGAAGTAAGATAGTGGAGATAAGCATAAAGACCGTTATTTAGGGGAGCTCTGGTGGCCTAGTGGCAAGAAGCTACACTGCAATCCCAGAGGCGCATGGTTCGAATCCATCAGATGCTCTGCCAGGAAAGGAGGAACAATCTCCTCCTGTACCAGTCAGATCTGATCTGACGGTACACAGACACACACACATACAAAATAATAATTAAAAAAAAGAAAAATACCCCAGTTATTTAAACAGAAAGACAGTTTCTGTGAAAATTCCCATGGACATAAGGCAGAAGAGGTATACCTCCAAAAGCCACACCTACTGCCCTCAAGTTGATTCTGACTGACTCATAGTGACCAGGTTTCTGAGTCTTTAAATCTTTAATGAAGAAGAGTGCCCATCTTTCTCAGAGCACTGACCTTTTGGTTGACAGTTCAGCATGTTTCATACTACGTCATTAGACCCTCTTAGAGGTGGGATAGATGGTATACATTGAAAATTATGAAGGCATGTCTTCATTGTGATGCAAAACTGACATATTTGAGAAGTTTGAACCTAGATCACAGGTACAAAAGACAGTTGAGAATGCACAGTAAGGTGCAAGTAGATTTGCAGATTGTTAGGAAACCAGTACAGTGTGCTCTCCGAAGTGATGGAGACTGTCAAGTTTTGGATAACAGTGGAACTGCTGGATATCAGGAGAGAGTAAGAAAAACAGGTTTTTTAGAATGAGGAAGTGAACTTTTTGGGGAAAATTTTAGGTCACTGTTGATTGCCAAGCTAAAGATCGTTGTCGTGAATATCAAGTACTCGAGCTTGTTGAAAAAAGAGCTAGTTTGGGGTTTTGTGGAGTAAATACCTACAAGAGAGGGGAAAGAGAGTGATTACAAAGATGATTCATAAAATCTTTGTTGCATTTGAAGAACAGATGAGATTGAGTTGTTGTTGATTGCTGTCAAGTTAAGCACGACTCATAGCAGCCCTATGAACAAAAAGCCTGAAGCCTTTCTAGAACTATCGACATTTATTAAAGTTTGTAGTTTCCAGAGGCATGTTGTTTAGGAAGTGATTGCCACTCTTGCTTCCAAACCTATCTTAAACTGGGAGCTCCACCAAACACTGTCCACCAAGGGTAACTGTTATGGCATTTGATGCTCTAGTGGCACAAGGTTCAGCATCACAGCAACCCCAGGATTCCTCAGTATAGCCTTTTGACAGAAGAGTGCTGTACCACTTAGAAGAATGTTCCTCCAAAATGTAATAAAAATCAATTTTAAGTACAAAGGGCCTCCTGAAAGTCTTGTTTACTCAGAGGCTTATGTAAAAAAAAAAACAAACCCCCATATAGTATGTTGTTGTTGTTATGTGCCATTGTATGCACAGCAGCTCTGGACCCTTCCCTGTCCTGAACCAGTCTCACTAATTTTCAACACACATTGCCCCAGTCACTGTATCAATCCATCTCATCCGGGGTCTTCCTTTGCTGTTATGTCCTTCTCCAAGGACCGGTCTCTTGGCCTCGTGCCCAAACTAAAAAGGAGGCAGAGCTTCAGAATCCTAGCTTTCAAGGAGAGACTTGGTTTCACCCTCTTCAAGACAGACCAGTTTGTTTTCTTGGCAGTCCATGGTATTCACCACAACTTGAAGGCATCTATCCTTATTCTGTCATTCTTAGTCATTAGAGAATGGCTTGGAATGAAAATATCAAGGGGTTGATGATAAAATGTCTCTGTCTTATGGAAAGATTATTGCAGTAAGGATACTAGAGAGGTGTGCAGAAAAATACTAGGCACAGATCATAGAACAAGAGGATTGAATCAGCCAGAAGCATGAAAGAAGCATCATTGACAAGACAAAAAGCATCTTCTAGGTAGAGGGAAACACAGAAATGTGGAGACTTGAATCAGTTATTTGTTTTCTGAACATTTTCATCTTAGTGACTATTGAAGATGATTAAAATGTCAGTTTGATCTGTATTCTGAGGTTTCACAACTTTTTAAAGTCTGTGTCGTCAAAGATTATATTTCTTAAAAAGAAAGATGAAAATTACATCTCCTCCCACACTTTAGAATAGTCTGTAGTGTAGGGAGTGTGAGTAGATGTGGCTGTTTTGGAGAGCAGTTTTGCACTTTTGAAAATGCTAATTCCTTATATTTTGGCAATGCCAAAACTAGGCATAGAATATGAAATTGTCTTAAGTATGTATAATAACATGAACAGTATCTTTTTTGTTTATAACAGCAAAGAAAAATGAAAGCCTTTCAAAAGGCAAATGGACATATAGTCAGTGATTACAGTCACATAATGAAATACTCTATAGTAGTGTGTATGACTGAACATGAACTAGAATTACATCAGTGTAGTCACAAACAGAATGAACCATCTATAGAAAAATAGGAAGTGTGCTACCATTTACATGAATTTTTGAAATACATAAAATAATTCTCTACCTCGTTTTTTTGCTGTTATTGTGTATCATAGAGTCCGAATTGATCCACAACTGACGCTCCAATGGGTTTTCAGAGACAGTCAATCACGCAGGAATTGATTGCCCATCTGCCTCCCAAGGAGCAGCTGGTGGATTCGAACCATGAGCTTTTGGGATTGCAGCACAGCTTCTTGCCACTAGGCCACCAGAGCTCACTGTACCTTGTTTAGGAATATTTCTTTTAAAAGCTTGAGGGTGATGTAACACCAAATTCACAGTGATTTACCTCCAAGGGAGAAATTTTGATTGAGGAGGTCCACACAGGATTCCCTGCCCACCCCCACCCCCAGTTTGGATGGTAAATATTTTGTATTTGTTCTGAAATACTTAAAAAAAAAATCTTAGAATATCTCAATGTCTTATCAGTTCATAAAATTGGCAGCCTTGGATTATACAGACCTGGAATACAATGTTCTGACACTTTGTTACACTCACAGCTAGAAATGTAGAATCATTTATAAAGATGATTTTTTTTTCCCTAACTATCTGGGATAAGCTCCTTTCTAGATACAGAGGTACCAGACTCCTTTGTAAGAAATGTTTATTATTGTATAATTTACAGAAGTTGTTTGTGCTACATAATCAGCCGGGCATGTTATGGAAAGTGTAGATTCCTTGGCCTCACATCCACAGATTCAGAATCTCTAGAAGTTGGGTTGTGGCATGTGTATCTTTGAAAGATCAATCTGTGATTCTGCTGATAGACTATTTAGAGACTATAAATAGTTTTAGCTTGGTGTTGGTGCCAATACTTAGGTCACATGGAAGGATTTTCACAACACTGGGATGCATGAAATGAGCACTTTTGACAAAAGGACATAAATAATTCTTTTCCTCAAATACAACCTATCAGAAATACACAATGATAACTCCTAAGCGAAAATATTTACTATAGAGGCTGTACTGTCTTCGTTTTGCTTCCCTCAGTAATATTCATAATCCTTATTTTTTCAGTTATAAAGATGGCATAGTGGTTATAATTGACATCAGTAAGAAAGGAGAAGTTATTCACAGACTTCGAGGCCATGATGATGAAATCCATTCCATAGCCTGGTGTCCCCTGCCTGGTGAAGACTGTTTATCCATAAATCAAGAGGAAAACTCAGGTAGAGATGATTTAAGGGAGGGTTCAGAGCTCAGAGAAATAAACTTGGGCCATCATGATTATATTAGAATCTCTAATCATGATTCTAGTTAGCTTTCTAAATAATCAGAATGAGACAGCAATGATTCAGTGTAGAATTGTTACCTTCTATGCTTCTGGCTTCATTTCTCAGTCACTGGAAATGGAACTGCCAACATTTCTATGTCAGTGAGGGCTTGAGTATTTCTGATACTAAATAGTACACTCAAGCATATCAGATGTAAGAATTATGCAGGACAGAGCAAGTTTCATATCTGTTCTTAGGATTGCTATGAGTTATAGTTGACTCAGTAGCATCTAACAACAACATACTAACCATCTTATGCACTTAAAAGTCGAGGACGGAAGGGCTGATGGTCCACTCCCCAAAATCAGCAAGTGGAAAACCTATATATGCATCACAACAGGTTGATTTGATAACTAGTCTTGGGATAGTGCAAGACCAGGCATCAATTCCTTTATGCACAAAATCAGCGTAAGTTGAGGGGCAGCTCACTGGCAGCTGACAAAAGAAATAGCATCAGTGCTCTGTAGACCTAAGGAACAAAGTAGAATTACATTATTTGAATTTTTCAAACTGGAGGTTTTACAAATAAAAATGCAAAAGACAGCTATGGGAACCCTTCTGAACTAATTTTTTCATTTCTAAATGCCTGTTTAATGTAATTAAAAACTATATATACCATCTCTCTCTAGAAGAACCTGAAGTTCCGAATGGGAAAGTTACACCACAAATTACGATAACAAAAGGCTGCTACTTAGCCACTGGAAGCAAAGATCAAACTATTCGAATCTGGAGCTGCTCTAGAGGTCGAGGTACGATTGGCTTTCTCTTTATGACATAATCTAGATTGGTCTAAAAAGTGTTATATTCTTTCTTGTGTGGATTGTGAGAGTATGTCATTTCTTGTTATGTGGTATTGAATTGTAGCACACTCAGAGCTGATCCTATACTGGGTTTTAAGAGACTAAATCACATGACAGGAGATCACCAGTCCCATCTGTCTTCCATGGAGCAGCTGGTGGATTTGAACCACTTACCTTTGTATTGACAGTGCAGCTCCTTACCCACTTCATCTTTAGACCTTCCTTTGCCATTTATTGGGATTTCCCCACCAACCCACCCACATTTCTATATAGACGGTTGCTTTTAAAATTTAACTTAAGCTCTAATTCCTTGCTCTCACCTACTGATTTTGGTGTTAAAAGTTATATTTTCCAACACACACCAGGAGAATAAGAACCTTTGTCTCATAAAACTTTGGCATTGAGTGGAGGATATTTATTATGAGAACTGGAATGTTGGGACTTGAGTCAGAGGAATAGGAGTGATCTATAGAGTTAATGCTTTTAATGAACAAATGCAGTGATAATCCAAGCATAGATATGTATGTTCAACTATGAAAGCTTAGCTTAACCAAATTACAGAGCCCCACAATCATTTTACCATCCCAAACTTCTCTCTTAGAACTTTTACCCCAAGTCTACAAATTGGGAAAATCTCCACTGCAAATAGATATTACCTTTATAATAGAAATTCTTTGTATGTGTTCTTTTCTTTGTTTTTTAAGATTTGAATGAAAGTTTATCGAGAACCTGGATTTCCATTCATTCATTGTTGCACATTTTCCTCCCTATCTCCCCTCCCCCCAGTTCAGTTTATTCTTTGGGAAAAAAGTTCTTTCATTATTACACAGTTCCACCACCACCACTTTACTATGAAACTCTTATTCTGGACTCTTGTCATACCAATAATACCTAATCATATATTCCTTTTATAATTTCTCTCCCTTGTCTGTTTCAATGTTGTGTACATTACTTATCCCTTCTTTTCTTAGTTTCCCTCATATCAATCCTGTTCTGTAACAGTGGCATTATGCAGTATTTGTCTTTTTATGGCTGAGATAATTTCACTCAGCATAATGTCCTCCACAGTCACTCATTTTGTACACTATTTCATGAGTTCTTTGTTTTTCAGTGCTGCATAATACTCCATCGTGTGAATATACCACAGCCTCTTTATTCATTCATTTGTTGATGGGCACTTACGTTGTTTCAAACTCTTTGCTAATGTGAACAAAGCTGTAATAAACATGGGTGTGTATATATCTGCTTGGGTGGCAGTTCTGGTTTCTTGAGGGTATATTCCTAGTAGTGGAATTACTAGGTCAAAGGGTATTTCCATTTGCAACTTTATGAGAAAGTACTATACAGCCTTCCATAGTAGTTGCACCATTTTACACTCCCACCAACAGTGAATAAGGGTTCCAGCTTCTCCACAACCTCTCCAACATTTGTTGTTCGCTGTTCTGTTAAATTTTGCTATTCTTACTAGGATAAGATATCTCATAGTTGTTTTGATTTGCCTCTCTCTCAGAGCTAGGGATTTTGAACATTTATTCATGTGTTTGTTGGCCATTTGAATGTTGTCTTTGGAGAAGTGTCTGTTCATATCCTGTGCCTATTTTGCACTTGGGTTGTTTATCTTGTGGTGGTGTTTGATTCTATAAATTCTAGATATAAATCCCTTATCCAACACATCATTACCAAATATTTTTCCACAGTCTGTGGCTTCCCTTTTTACCCTGTTGAAGAAATTTTTGGATGTGCATAAGGATTTGATTCTTAGAAGGTCCCATTCATCTATTTTATCCTCTCCTGGTTGTAGATTTTGTGTTCTTTTTATGATATCTTCTTCACCACTTGATTTTAAGCCATGAAAATATTATAATCTTTTTCTAAATGCACAAATGTGTATAAAGCAAGTAACATCATGCTTAACACATGGTTACAGCTTCTTGTGTACTATTGAGTTGGAATTGACTCATAGCTGACCCTCCAGCAGATTTTCAGAAGCAATATATCACATAGGAGGAGATTGTCAGTCTTTCTCCTGCAAAATTGCTGGAACAAGAATGCAGCTGAAACTCCAAGGGGGAACGATATACGGTTAACATTCTCTCTAGTTGGAGTAACTTAAACTTCCCAGTGACTAGTACTTTGATTGATTGTGCTATCGAATCAGCTTGAGAATTTTTTACAGAGGGCGAGTGATTAATCATCTCCAACCTGCTAAATCAGAATCTTTGGGCCCTAGTAGTTTTTTGTTGTTGTTGTTTTTTGTTTTTTTTGTGTGTGTGTGCGTGTACCGTCAAATCAGATCTGACTGGTACAGGAGGAGATTGCTCCTCCTTCTCCGGCAGAGCATCTGGTGGATTCGAACCGTGTACCTCTGGGATTGCAATGCAGCCTCTTGCCACTAGGCCACCAGAGCTCCCCATCTAGTAGTTTCTTTTTAAAGCTGTGCCTATCCATCAGGTC